ACACACACACACACACACACACCACTCCCCAAAGCTCTTCCTTTATTAGCAGAGATTATGGTTCTAATTAATTTTTTTGTTTGTTTGTTTTTGAGACAGGGTCTCACTATGTAGTTGAGACTGACCTGGAACTCACTATGTAGCCCAGGCTGGTCTCAAACTTACAGCGATCCTCCTGCCTCAGCGTCCCGAGTGCTGGGATTACAGGTGTGAGTCATCACGCCCTGCTCTAATTAATTTTTCACACTGTCTGCACCAAAGCTCCTTCGTGTAAGTGTTCAGGCAAATCCTGGCACTGTGGAATTTAATTTTCCCATTCTCACCTCCTCTCCCCTCTGACTCTGCAAACACACACAGTATGAAGGTACAGACGTGCCTGGAAACTGAATAGTCCCACGGTGCCCACATTCCACAAGAAGTGCCGAGCCACTGCTTGTTGGACGCAAAGGATCAAGGGCTCGTGCAGCAGGGGGAGGCCCCCACAAGCATGAGACCTCTGCTTGTTTACACTCACCTGCTCACCTGCCACCTTTCCTTACTCCTTTCAGCCCGAGTGCTGTCTGCCCCTTCCTATTGCTGCCCCTTCTTTACGTTTGGGACAATGAAACTGCCAAGCCCTCTGAAGAGGTCAAGAAAGAATTTGGGAGGAATGGAAAATGTTTCTGACCTCCGTCCTCAGGTAGAGTAGAAACTAAGTGAAGTTTCTTTAAGGAAATCCAGCTCTGTCCCGGTAGGGGGCTCCATCAGCCCTGATGTGTGTTGGATGCAGTGATTCGGACATTCCTAATTCTGAGGCTTGGGGTATAATTCAAGAGATCCCGTGACTCACGCACTATACTGGAAAGCCAATTATGCACTGTTTCCACCTTACAACATCTTCAAGGGGTTAGTTAGGCTCCCAGGAACTCAGATTACAGCAGCAATTCCTCTCAACTATCCAAGTGATACCAAAAGTGTCACTTTATATCAAAGGACATTTCTGCCTATCACTGTAAGGGAAATGCTGCTCGGGCTCAAGGTACACGGGGATGGTGGCTGTCTTTAGTCTAACAGCCACTCCGCTGGGACATCATTCAAGAGAAGAAACTGCATCAATGCAGACAACTATTTAGATAATGAGTAGAAGCCAGACACTGGCTCCCCACTGCCAAGACAGGCTGGGCTTGTGTAGAAGGACAGGGCACCAGAGATGGACAGAGGAATTCAGAGATCATGGATGGAAAGGGCCCTTTGCAGGTGCTTCCTGGACTACTGGGATCTAAACAGAGACCAATCCCAGCCTCAGTTCTCCCGGCTGATAAGCTGCTGGCTTTTCAGACCTCAGCTTCCCCTTCTGTGGAATAAGTGTTGAACTGGAAGCCTGCTAGGTTTTTAGTTGCATTAGGCTCTGTGCCTCAGTTTCCGTCCTCCTCAGCTAGGAGAAGGGACCACAGCAAGATGGGCCAGCACTCTACACAGAGCATGCTAGACGGTCATTTGGTGCTTTTATTTCTGTTTCTGCCACTGCTGCCCAGGGCTCCAGGAAGGGGGAGCCTTCAAGTTCTCATGGTAGGTATATCAGACAAAACCATCTTGCGGGGTGCATGGCACTCTTTGAACCAACAGAAAAGGCAGCATAGATGCTCTTGGACTACAGCAAGGCTGTGTCCCCAAAACTCCACAGCAAGCCGGAAGTCGTGTGATATGAAAACATATTTAAACACCCAACCTACTGGATGTCCCAGTTCAGCATGCAGGGCATTGCAGGGCTCATGGCTCACCCTCATGCTCAAGGGCTGACTGGGAGCTGGGGCTGTCCCTGCCGAGGCTCTCAATGGAATATCACGCCATGTATCTCTAGCCTGGAAAAGACCCAAATTCACCTATGATCTCTAGTGCACGAGGACTACTTTCACCCGCTCTTAAGCAGAACCGTCATCATATACTCTCTTTACACACGTGTGTGTTAGACTGCGTACATGCATCAAGTCACATCCACTGGAGCCTTATTAAAAATTTGTGTAAATTTGAACAGGAAAAATATTTGATGGATAAGCACAAACACCTAACTTCTCTTTAAAATGCTGTGTGGGGAGGAGGGGGTGAAGGGAGGGTAGGGACAAGGGGGAAAAAAATGAGAACCAAGACCTGTCATGTAAAGTTACAAGATCCCAAGGATGAATGTAACTGTACTGTATTCCTAAAATGTACCAATAAACTCAATTTATAAAAAGAGAATAAGGGAAGTTTGAGGAAAAATTAAATATTTAGTTTCTCAAAAGAAAATAAAATAAAATGCTGTGTGGCATGAGGAAGCGAGTATAATTATGATGTCAGAGCTCTGGCTCGGGTTGGACGGGCAGCTGGTCATGATGCGAGTGAGACGCAGGAACACACGGACACACCCGCAGTGACCCACTGGGCAGGCGCACCCACCTGTCTGCTGTCGTTCTCCCGGCAGCCCTGCAGCTTGACGAGGGCCCCAGGCGCCCGGTCCACCACTGTAAGGCACAAGTCCATGTGCTTCACTGACTTCTCCTTCGTCAAGGCCCACTCCTGGAACACAGAGCCCCAGTTAGAACACGCCACCTGGGTGAAACAGGTGGAATTGGGAAGGGTCCCAAAGGGAAATAGGTCATGATGGGAATGAGATCCTGAGGCCTAAACTAAGAACCAGCAATTACTTTCAGCCTGAGACACACCTACAAACGGGACACTGCCTTCCATCTACAACCAAACACTAAATTGGCCAACAAGAGCACAAGAGTGGCTTGCAAAATTTAGTAACTAAGATTAACAGCATGAGGTATGTATGTATGTATGTATGTGTGTATGCATGTATTTAAGATCGGGTCTCACTATGTAGCCCAGGCTGGCCTTGAACTCATGGTGATCCTCCTGCCTCAACCTCCTGAGTGCTGGGATTCCAAGTGGCATCGCGTTTTAGCCCCGAATGCGAGTTCAGAGTGCCAGATTGCGAGCCTTGGCAACCACGGCAGCAGCTTTCTTGCCCAGGAAGTGGGCAGTTGGGCTGACTTTCCACCATCGCTGCTTCAGCATCATCCTCCTGGGCAGGTCTGGTTTGGAAACACACTTATAAATGTAGACCTAATTGTAAAGATTATAAATGACTTGCTGCAGACTGAAAATATATAGTGTGAGGCTTCATTGTTGAGTGCTACGCAATTCTGCCGACAGTCACAAGCCCTCATATTGGCAAGGAACGGTGTACACAGCCATACACTGCACAGTAGGTCGTACCTGGGGTTCGCTCCGTGCCAGGCACTGCTTTAAGCATTTTATGTAAATGCCCCATGAGGGGCTCTTACTATTTTCATTTTATGGACAAGAAAAGTGAGCCACAAAGTGTGTAAGCATTCTCACCCATGTGTCTAACAACACACGCACACGTGTTGGTGTGCACGCATGCGCATCAAGGGCTGCGACAAGGCGAAGAGAACCACTCTGAATGCTGAGCAGAACCTTGTGGAAGGGTAGAGGGCAAGGAAAGAGAAGGGGTGATGTGGCCAAAGGCGGAGAGGGTAGAGCCCATGTGGGCGGGTGGGGCTTCCCATGGTCACTCAATGAATGACCTGACTTATCGGAGCAGCAGAGGGGCCTTTTCCAACTCAGAGCCCCAGCTGCCCCGGCCCCTCACCCATCCCACCTCCCATCCCAATGACCCCACTGTGCCCGACACAACACAGGAGCTCTGCATGTGCCAGGATTTCTAGTGGGAAAGTGATGGGACACAAATACACTGTCATTTTGACACAAACACTGTTATACCTCAGGGACAGAGGTAAGCAAAGGAACTACCTCCAAAGCAGCCTTATGGTTCAGAACCTGAATTGTGCTGGAACGGATGATCTGCTACCAGCAAGACCCCAAAGCCCCAAAGCACATGGTGCTTAGACCCCACGGCCACCTCCGGATGCATCTCCCACTGATCCTGCAGGTGGGTGGAAGAGACTGGGGTGGAGGCAGCCACAGGCAACCAGGAATCACTGGCTGCCACCCCCTGGCAAGGAGATAGGGCAAGTCTCCTTGCTACTTGAGTTTCAGTTTTGTCACCTTTTAATTAGTGTTTCTTCAATTTTACTCTGTGAGCAAGTCTATGAAAAACTGGTTCCAGGCCAAATAAATGTGTGAACACTAATCTCCCACCATGCTTCTCCCTTGAGAACTCACAAATGGTCTTAGAGGTGCTAAAAATCCCTAGAGCAGAGTTAGTCGGTGGCATATCCCAAACATACCAATGCAGGCCTTTCCCTGCCCATCTCCAGCCTTGCAGGGCCTTCTCTGGGAGGGGCCCCCTGGGCTCACTGGGGAAGGACATTAGCCTCTGGAATGCTGCAAAGGTATGAACAGGCACTCAGCTTTCGAACAGTGTGATATACATCTGGTTTGACCCTAACCCCTGGAAGCAGAGCTCCCAAAAGCCTTGTGAGAATTCCTTGAGCATACAGTGCAAGGAGCACCTTTTGATACCTGGTCTTTGATTCTAGTTCCTGCCACGGCCCAAACCCCTGGGGATTTTCTGGTGACATGAGAGTGTCTCTGTCCTGGTGGGTTCCTGGACAGGGCTGGTCACAGAGGGATTAGTTGTTTGGAACACTCAGTACAGCCCCACCATCTGGGAAGGGGAGAGGGGTAGCCATGGAGTTAGTGACAATCTCTGAACCACAGGGAGCATGCATGGAGGGGCTAAAGGTAGAGCCCCCCACGGTAGCCCTCTCAGGCCTGCCCTATTTGGCTCTTCCATCTGGCTGTTTGAGTTGTACCCTTTAGCAATGAACAGTTAAGCTAGCCAATCAGCTGTTTCTATGAGCTGTTCTTAAAAATGACTGAACTTGGGAGGGGTCACAGGAACCCCACTTTACAACACAGGGGACAACCTGGATTTGTGACAGGTATCTGAAGAGGGTTACTGAGGTCCCACAAGTCATGTCAGGGGCAAGACTGCCAGAATGCAGTTACTACTTGTCCGATTCATCTGGCCCGAGTCACATGGAAGTGTGCAGGAGGGAGGAGGCCAACGCTTCCTGCACACCCATGGCTCGCAGGACACAGTGATTCAGGAGGATGAGCCTGATGCCCTCACTCTGAGTGCAAACCAAGACACGCAGAGGTGCCTACTTCTAGTCAGCAGAGTCACAGGGATGACAGTACCCACAGGGTTAACTGTCCCTGCTGTGGCGTCAGGGGATGCCAATGTCTGTGGCCAGTAGGAAAGGACCTGCTTTGCTGTGTGTCAGTTATTCTTAGGCAGACTTGACAATGAATTCCAGAGGCAACAACATGGCAAACCACAGAGCCATTACTTGGTGCTGTCCCTCAGTGCACTGAATCTGTAAGACAGCCACACATATGAAAAATGCTTTTCTGAGCTGCCACCTTTAAGAAGCATGGCCATTATCTTCTCACTCCCTTGCGTTGCTGAGGCTGAGCTGGAGACCAGGTACCAGACCCTGTGTTCACATCCACTAGGTATTACTACCCAATAAGGACCACTTTCCACTAGTCCAGAGAGGACCATTTGTAGTGTGTCCAGAAGTGGGACGTTGGGCAGCAGCAAGTGTCACCTTTAGTTTTGGTCACATCCATGCACTCTCACATTGGCCACCAACCACATATAGCTTTTTATAGTTAAATCTGAAAGATTAAATAAAACTGAAAATCTAGCTCACGCCAGTCACATCGGAAGAGGCTCTGTCCACGTGTGCCCAGCTGGTGGCACAGGGGATATTGCAGATCAGAATGTTCCCTCCAGAGCACATGATCCACTGGATAGAGCCCAAGAGACCACGTGCAGTGACATATGTGGGCTATGGGGCCATGGAGCCAGGCATCCCCCCCAGGCCAGTGGGCACAGGGTGCTGAGTCACTGTGCTGCCTCACCCAACCCCTACCATGCGTCCAACCCTTGCACATCACTGCTGTTTGGCATCAGTCAGGTGCCCCAGCATCGGTATTTGTCAAAGCTCTCTAGGAGATTCCTATGTGCAGCCCTGAAGCACTGACTGAGCAGGGCACGAGGCCCTGGATGGAGAGCAGGTCTCAGCACACACCTGCTGAGGCGAGAGGAGAGGCGTCGGGTGAGGGGCAACACCCACAGCAGCAAGAAGGAAACAGAGGCCAGTGTGAAGGGCATGCTCTGGGTGCCACTGGGCTGTCGCAGAGACGGCCCTGAGCTGACCCCCTGGCACTCATGTGATGTCACCTGTCAGCCATCTGGGCTGTGGCCACTACTCATGCTCCAGAGCCCCCAGTTGGAGGAAGTTGCTCTGGTGACCTCCCACGGTCTGTCCACAAAGAGAGAGCAGCAGCAGGCTCCTGTACCTGTGAACAGGGTGACAGTGGTTCCTTGTGAAAGCCAGCGCACCCTCAACACTGAGGGGAGCCATCAGAAATACAGTCCAGGACAGCAGTATGCACTGGCACTGTGTCGGGCGAGCCAGGATGTGTGGACTCCACCTGACAGAGCTGCCCAGAAGGTGCCCAGAAGCCAGAGCCATGCCTGAGAGGAGGCAAGTAGTGGCCACAGGAAATGAAGTGCAAGCAACATCTCTGCTTCCTGTTGACCTGCAGCCTCTGCAGGACTCTGCCTGTGTGAGCAGCTGGGCAAAAGTATGACCCAGAGTGGGCACGAGCCCACGGGACAGCACAGGGCAGACAGGCGGGGACGCTGCCCAGACACTCCCCTCAGGGTAAGGCCTGTCACACTTCAGCACAGCTCCTGACATGAGGCCTGACCGCTGATTGGGAACACAGTGCCAGGCACAGAGGGAAGGCCAAAAGTAACAAGGAAGAGTCTGAACCTGGAAGCACAGGCTGGCATCTCTGCTTTGTAATCAATCACAGCGCAAGGGTGAGTGTCACTCAGCCCATCCAAAATCCACACCCCGTATGTGGGGAGTTCTAAGTTAACACAACACAAAGCAGACCCTGGTTCTTCAAAGGTACTCTCAGCTTCTTGAGAGTCAGATTGCTTTGTTACTCTGTACTCCTTAGTAGCTTTGTAGAAACAACTAACACGCTTGTTCCTGTGCTCAGTGCTTCCCCACACCAAAGGTGAGGTCCAAATGTACTGATGATTCCTGTAGAGTGAAGCGAATAGAGCCAGGCAAACTTATATCACAACAAGAACAACCACACTTGGCTGGAACCTGATATCACTACCCATCATGCAAGACTGTAGTGGCCTTCAGACCCCTAGAAGCAGTCAGTGAAGACCACAGCACCCAGGCACAGTGACACCAGAGGTCACAGCACATTTTTCCTCTGGGACACTCGCAAGGAGGGAGTACAGGTGGAGACTAATGCCACAGGGCCACACATGGGAAACATGAACTGAGCCACAGCCATAGCCTGGAACCTGTTTCAGGGCGTAGCCTTGGGACCAGGGAAGGGAACACAGGTGAGACAGGGCCTGATGATGGCATATGCGTGCTGGAGAAAAGCAGGACCTGGGCCGACACCTACACCAGGGGCTGTGATGGGCCCAGCCAAGCCCTGTAGAGCTGTTCCTGTGTCACTCAGTGTGCCCAGACCACTCTACACAGCCACTGAAAACTGCTCCAAAATGTGCAGAAAGGAGCAGGAACACCTGGGGACCGTGACCTCCCCACACTCACTTGGACAGTCTGGATCGGCCAGTTTCACGCAAAGTAATTTCTACCTAGTGAAGGGCCTGAGATCAACAAATCTGGGATCCATGCACATGTTAACTGCCCTATTCTATAGCTGCAGGCCCTCAGAGTTAAGAAAGTTTCTGGAAGTGGGTTAGAGCACACTGCACTGCCTGGGTCATCTGGGCAAGGGAGCCTGAGTTCGCAGCCACATTCGGCCCCTGAAGACTTCATGTGTCTGCCCGCTCCAACAAGGGCTGAGTGTCAGGGTGTTCATGTGTTTGGGGAGCGGTGTGCATCAATCTGAGGCAATCAATGGGTCTTACCTCATCACTTAAGCTATCACCACCTAATGTGGACAACCGCTAGAGTGGCAACCAAAGTGTCTGGAGCCCAGTACCTCCCATGCAGGGACACAGGTGTGTATTCCACATTCAAGAACAGACATGGCCGCAAATGCAGAATGGGTGCTTTGTGGGGATGAGCACACAGCAGGGAGGTCAAAGCCAGCAAAGAGAAAAGGCTAGAGGCCACCAGATCTTCAGCCCTGCCTGGACTGTGTCTGCCCAATGCATAGAGCCCAGCCTGAGGCTAATGAGCAACCCCACGATCTGTCCAGGTCCACAGAGTCCCAGGTGACCCTGAGGGTACAAAGATGATGTGACCAACAAGGGCCAGGTCCTCTTTGAGGAGGAAGGCAAAAGCCACAGCTGCTACCCTAGGACCTGCCCTATCCCCTCTAGGCCTGTGGTGCACACCCACCCAAATACCTACCTGGTTTCCCCCAGCATTGTGACACTCGTAAATTCCAACGACACCATCAGCAAAGTGTCCCAATGTATCGAGGCAGTTGGTCCCTTGCTGCAAGGCCCCAAAAGCTATGTCTTGATGGTCAGGAACCCTGAAAGGCAATTGGACCAATGGTTAACTGAGGTGCACTAGCCACCTAGAGCTCCTGCTAAGCAACCTCATCACGGCAGTGGGGACAAAAGGAAGATGGGTCACCAGGCCCCATGTCCCGACAAGGCAGGACTCCAGCCTCTGCACTCCTAATGCTGTAAGATGTGAGTAGGAGAGTTCTCTTGTGACCTCTGTGTCAGGGAAGGCTCTCTGAGTAGGAATGGCTGACCGGAGTACTGGCTGGTCATTTAGAACACCAGTCAATGTAGTGTCACCTGGCCCTCCACCTAGTGCAAGTGGACCTGCAGGTGGGCCACACAGAGCCACATGTTCTGGAAGGACAGCGGGTTTGAGCCCCCTCTGCACACACTGGCTGTGTGACCACTCGGGTGAGGATCACTCTAAACCTCAATGCACTCTCCTGTCTGACTCCCACCAAACAGGCTGCCATATAAACACCTCCGGGAAGCCCTTCACCCTACACCTGCCGCATGAAGTGCTTGGCCAATGATGCCAACTGCCATAGTCACAAGAGCTGAGACCTCCCTCAGCTGCCAGTTAGGGCAGGCTCCAAAGAGGATGGTCCAGGGATCCAGGGAGTGGTCTTGAGGGCTCAGGGCCACCTCAAATTGTGGGTGACCTCAGTGAAAAACTGCATTATCATTCTGTCTGGCACCATCACCCACCAAGCCACAGGCAAGTGTGACAGCAAGAACAAGTGGCTCCTGGCAATGTGGGGCTGATACCACTGCCCAAGGCCCCTCCACGGGGAGGCAGATGGTAACAGGGGTCTGCCCTGCTGACCACCACTGTGCCTAACCCCAGGCAAGTTGTCCTTGGAGGGCATCAGACTGCCTGCTCGCGCTTCTACCTCCTTAAAAGCTGAGGAAACAGCTCTGAAGAGCCATGCCAGGGACAGCAGAGACAGTGAGGCCTCATCACTGATTCACACACAAATCCCCATGACATGGCTCTAAGGTAACCCTTAGCAAAAAGAAAATGGTGGCTGTACTCATGTTCCCAGTCTCTGTGCAGGGGTGTGTGGGCTGCTGTAAAATGCTCTGGGACATTTGGATGAATGTGGCACACCGAGGCAAAACTTGTCCCAACAGCCCTTTCATAAGATGAAGTTGAGAGGGCCCCTAATCTCCTGCAGTGTTGTCAGTGCCCCTCAGGACACAGAGCTTCTAACAGCTTTGACAGGAAGCTAGGTAGACAAATGAGGCTCAGAAGAGGCTTCTGCAACATAAGCCCTCAGGGGGAGGCACAGCCCCAGCATTTCATGAGACAAAAGTGGTCTGCAGGAGGACCGAAGGCCACTGGCAGCCTGAGGGAGGAACAATAGCACCCAGCATCTCCCAGCCAGCTCGGCCCTCCACCCCATTGTGTCACAGGTGAGTGGATGCAGCTGTGATGGGATGAGATCAGGGACCACTCACGCACAGACATCACAGGCTCTTCTACCAGAGGGAAACAAGCCAAACCAAGGTGCTGTGTCAGGAGGGCTCTCGGGTCTGTGCAGAGTGAGGGAGTAGCCTCATGGGAGCAAGGGAGGCCATGACCAAGACTTACCCTTAGGAGTCCTGGGACAGAAGTTGGGTAAGGACCCTACTCTCCTAGTAGCCCTGGCTCTGGCTTTGTGCCTGACTACTGTCAAGGACTCTGGGCCCTCCAGGCAAAGCCACAGGTCCTGAGACTCACCTCAACTCTGGGTAGACATTCTCCAGGTACCACTGGAAGGGCCGGCAGCCAAGCCGCTTCCTGAGCTCCAGTCTGCTCTGAATGCTGAGGAGAGGAAACACATCAAGCATGGACACACCTGAGTCAACCATGAATATCTTTCATAGTAGTGGGTTGGCGGTGGGGGGGCAGGAAGCTAGGTCTATGCAGGCCTTGTTGACCGAAACCCTGCCACCACACCCAGTCCTAAGCAGAAGGTCGTTGTCACCTGGGTACACCATCCCCGCCCTCTCCCCACACCCTGCTGTCTAGGCAGCATGAGGAGAAGGCTGAATACACTTACTTCCCATACGGAACATTTCGGGCGGAAGGCACTGCTGCATAATAGAAGTTCTTATATTCATCCATCCAGACCTCTGCTGCCCGGCGGGTGTTGCTAGAAACACAGCAAAACCCTCCTAAGGTTCCATTCTCCCCTTTTGAAGCACCCCTCTATTCGTCCGCTGGAGTGCAGCCAGGGGTGGCAGGTGGCCACCCAGTGGGTCTCGGGCCCACAGAGCTGCTCTGGTGTCTACAAGATCATCTGAGAGCAAAAGGCGAGTTGGAATGACTGCAAGGGGGGCTATGATGGGCCTGGGCCAGACCCCGAGAGGGACACAGCCACTATGGAGTAATGTGCTGTACGCTCAAGAGTGCAGGGCCCGAGGTCAAGGCAAGGAGGCTGCTGTGACCACAGCCCTGTGATTTGTGCCTCAGTGACCGAGTATATCTTCCTTCCCCTGCAGACATGAGCCACGGAAAGTGACTCACCAGGCCGTGACACCAGCAGGGGACACAGCAGTCCTCACTGGGTACCGGAGATTCGCATCCTGTTCTTCCACTACAAATATAGGTGAGAGGCAATGCTACCTTTAAAATAATGCCTTTTCATTACCAGAAAGGTTTCTTAAGTGTGAAGTCCTTTAAATTCCTGAGCTATGATTACAAGAACAGTTTCCAGGCGGGGCTTCTGTCTTTCACATAGAGTAATGCACCTGTCCATCTGCTCTGAATGAAGGGGACAGGGGCTGCTGCAAGGAGCACCATTAAGAGACATGTAAGGCAATACCAGGGCCGCCCACCTTGGATAAGGGTTCTACTTTTGGAAATTCACCTATAAGAAATAACCAGGGATGAAAATGCATATATCAAAATACGCTAACTTCAGCAGTTTATAATGACAAAAAATAACTCGAAACTAGAACCAAATACAGCAGCACGATGAGATGAATGAGAACTCCCTCGAACACTGGAAATCCAGGATGCTTGGGACAAGGTGTGGGCTCAATGTCACTGGGACTTGGTGGTGGTGAAGACTGATCACCATAGGTCACAGTGGATGTGTGGAAGTTGAAGAACAGGAGAGACAGACGGATGAGAGCCTGACCCAGCAACGTAAGAGAACAGGGTACAATCCTGTTTGGTGATGCCACGCGTGGGCTTTGACTTTCTCGCAGAGAACAGTGAGTGCTCAGTGCTGGGAAACACTGCACCTCAAGTGCGATTCCTCTCACAGCTGCCAACTACTCAGTGGGACCTGTGGTCCTGCTACATGATTTGTGTCTTAACTCAGCTCAAACTCTGCCCAGGTGACATGTAACCAGGCCATGACTCCAGCCCGGTCACCCAAACCCCCGCCTGTACATGGGAGGGTCTGATTCAAGGGTGTCCTGGTTGCTTTCAGCCCTAACGGCTTAAAGGATTTATAAACTCCAATCACACAGCATTTAAATCCCGTAAGTCCTGATGTCTGCTTATAGAAAGGGATTTATGGGGAGCCCCAGATGTATCTCAAGGCACGTTATGGTTTAGATTGAGAACGTCCTCTCAAAGCCTCGTGTGCTCAGAGCAGGGCTTCTGGAAGGTGACTAAGCACAGGGGCACTGCACTCGCCTGCGGATTCCTCTGCCGGTGATGGCAGCAGCTCAGTGTACTGTCGGAAGGTGAGGGGCACTGGTTAGAAGTGGCAGCTCACAAGGAGCATGACCTGAAAGGTCTGGTTCCCCTCTATGGCTCTTTCCTGCTCATTTGTGAGCAGTGTTTCCTCCATGCAGGCCCTTCTATCACACTGCCTGCCGATTATGCAAGGACTGAAATTTCTGAAAATGTAAGCCAAATAAACTTTTCCTCCTTTAAGCTGCGGGTGTCAAGCATTCTGTAACTAAAACAGGGTGACTCTAGTGGTTCCTTGCTTCCTTTTATCTGCTCATCCATCCATCTGGATACTCACTGGTACCTACCACACTCCAGGGATCCAGGAGTGAGCATTTACAGAGTGATGTATTCGTGCATCCAATGTCACACATTACAGGAAATTAAGAGAAGCTGGAAGGGACCTTAGCCATATAAAACTGCGCCACTTCATCTGTCAGATTCCCTGCTAAATGGCCTGGGTGGGGACATATAACTAAAAAGCTTGTCTTCTGAACAGAGTGTCCTCCTACCCGCTTACTAGGGGTTAATCCTAGGGGTGTTCTAACACTGAGCTACATCCCCAGTCTTTTCTAGAATTCTGAGACAGGGTCCTACTAAATGACCCAGGCTGGCCTTGAACTGGTAAATCCTCCTGGCTCAGCCTCCCAAGTAGCTGGGATTACAGGCGTGTGCCACCATGCCCAGCCTAAAAGTACTTTTTAAAAAAGTGTATGAAGTAACATCTTGAGAATTTCAACATACTATTTTCCGAAACCCCAATGCTGGCTTGGCAGTACCAGTGGCTTTGATTTAGGGTATCTGATATGTCTACACTAGAGGTTTCTGGGAAGAATTTCATGTTGCTCCAGGAAAAAAGCTACATATCAACATCTGATTTTGTAAAGCTCACTGTATAAGATTGTGTTTTCATATATATGTATGTATGTATGTGTGTGTGTGTGCATATATATAT